GATGGAGCAGCTCCCCCAGGGTTAGCCCCAGCAATGTGAGCAGCCAGCAGCCCCAGGGGCTGCTCCCCAGGCACCCAACAAGGGCGGGCAGCAGAGCAGCCCTTGAGGATGCTCCATCTTTCACCAGCCCAGAGGCAGCTGGGTTGGGCACCCAACACAGCATCACCCCCTCCCCGGCTCTGCAGGTCATCACCTGGGTGCCCCATGTGCTCCCCCACCGCTCTCCTACCCCTCCCTAAATTGCAGGAGATTAGTCCCACCACCCTCCCCAAGATGCGGGGCTGTCACCAGCCTCCCAGCCCAGGGATGGTGCGGGGCTCAAGGACACTGTCAGCTGGAGGGGAGCCGGGGTGCCAAGGCCGAGCGGATTAACACACTGAGCTGCTTGTTTCCATAGGCTCAAGCTCAAATCCTGCCTGTGATGCCAAGCTAAACACGGCTGACATTTTGCTCAGAGGTGTTGCCTTCTGGCCCTGACAGGATTCACTGCCGCCGCCTCAGATCCAGCTCCTCCGGGCGTGGGATGGAGTTGAGCCCAGCCGCACCACAAGGAGACCTGGGCACCCAAGTGGGTGCAGCAGGAACCGTTCCTGGCCCAGCTGCTTGGGGATGGTCATCCCGGCTCCATCCTGGGAGCCCACAGGGGCCCTGTGGAGGAGAAATCCCAGGGCAAGGTGGCATCAAAGGGGATAGGACATCCCAAAAGTGACTTGGGGAGGGGTTCCCCTGCATGGGGAAGGTCCAGGTGGGAGGAATCACAAAGCAAAAGCTGGCGTGGGCAGGGCCCTGTGGCCAACACCTCCCGGATGCCGCCCACGTTTGGAGCAAGGAGCGATAAAGGGGTGATGTCAGCCCTGGGCAAGAGGGAACAAATTCTTGGCAGGGCACTGGGGAGGGAGGGGACAGCAGGAACACCTGTGCTCATGGCAGCTGGGCTGCCACAGCCACCCCCCAGCTCCAGCCCCCGCAGCCAGCCATTGCCCATCACCTGAGGTCCTGCCAGGGGAGCGTGGCTGGGCAGGGGCACCAGCAGCCCCCACCACACCCCAGCTGGTGGCATCACTGTCAACAGGAAATCACACCCCGGCCAACGGCTTGCAGAGCAGCGTGCTGTGCGGGCAGCGGGGTGTCCCCGCTCCCCACAGAGCCGCCCCTGTGCCCATGTGGATGGCATGGCAGGAGGCGGCAGCAGCCCCAGCGATGATGCTGCTGGTCCTCAGCACCCAGTTTCAGAAAGCTACAAGCCTAAATGAATTAAACTAAACTCAGAGAGATGCCTTCAGGGATGACCCAAATCCCATCCCTAAACACCCAGTGAGGGAACAATGCACAAGCCCCCCCCCCCCAGCAACCTGGGTGCCACTGCAAGCCTCAGCCTCCTGAGTAGGGGTGGAGCAGGCGCTGCCCACCTCACCCCAGGAACCCCCAGCCCAGCACCGGCAACCAGAAGGCAATTACCAGCTGGGGTACCAGCAGCTCCCACAGCCTGGGGTGAAGAATTGCCACATCTGCATGCCTGCAGGAGGTCCTAGGGGTCGGGGCAGAGGCCAGGCAGCCTCCCAGCCTCCCACATCAGAAGGCAGAGCTGGGGATGCCCATCACTGCAGGGGGTGCAGGGATGACCCAACCCCCCTCCCTGCACCAGGGACAAGGGCCAGATGGTATGAATTACAACAGATTAGCCAAGTGTTTCTGAAGCCTCACACGCCATCACCTCCACCCAGCAAGATATCTTTCACTTAACAAAAAGAGAAGGGGGAAAACTGATTTTCTGCCTAGACAACCTGAAGCAGCCGGGCAGAGATGATGAAGAGCCCCAAGGCTGATGTGGATGAGCCCACAGCTCCTGAATTAAAGCCTATTTCTCAGGAGCAGGTGTTGGCTCCACTGTGTAAGTATTGGGGACCCAACCAGCATGAGATAAATCAGTGTCAGAGCCACTGCCCTCCCTGCCACTGTCACTAAAAGCCACCCAGACGCCTTAGCCCCCACCCCCCGCCCAAAGCTGTGGGCAACAGATGCTGCTTGCAGCCGGCAGGGCTAACAAAGCCAGGAGCTCGTTACATTGCACATGTCCCTGGTGCAGCCAGGACAGAACCCAGCCCAGCCACCTTCCCCTGCACAAGGCCTGGTGAGACGCTCAAGGAGATTAGGATCCATCCACGAGTTCAGTCAGCCTTAGAGCAGGCTTTAAGCTCTCAGAGGGACAGCTGGGCACTCACACCCACTAAGCTCAGTCTAAAGGCTTGCACCACCAGGGTCAACAGATGCAAAAGCACTGGAGTCTTCATCAGGTGCAGGAGCAGCAGGCACAGGACAGTCCAGGAGATAATCCAGCTCTGGCACAGCATTGATGGTGCTGCTGGCAAGGACTGAGCCAGGGCTCGCAAACAGGTGGGGCAGAGGAAGTGCCTTTCCTCCCAGCAACGCTGTGGTGCTTTGGGGTTTCACAGAAAAAGGGCGCAGGGAATTTCCTACAAGTGGATGCTCACCACATCCCAGGCCCCAATGGGATCTTTCAGCAGCCACCATCTCCACCAAGGGGAGATCATCTCCACAAAAGGAGCCACTGGACTCCTGTGTTCAAGGAGGAAGGGAGTGTTGCTGCAGGAAGCATGGATGCTGCCTGCAAAAGGCACAGCCTATACATCAGAGCTAATCTGGGATGGATGGATGTCCCCCTGAGGAAGCTGTGAAGAGCTGTGGCGATAACCAGGTTAATAATCACCTTCAGAGGGAACACAGCGAACCAGGAACACTGAGCTGGTGAGCCACAAAAGTCATCCATCAGCAAGAGCTGTCACTGGGAAGGACACCCATGGCCCAGGGACAGCTTGACCAGATCAGCACCGATGCCAAGCCGGCACATGTCTGCCTGGGCTCTTGGAGAGGGAGAGGCCAGGGCCGGGTGGGAAGCCAGAAAGATCCACCAGCTATGGCTGGGATGTGGCACGGAAGATGCTCCTGGGGAACAAGGTGGTGGCAGTAAAGCCATGTCTGGGGAGCATCCCTGAGCTGCAAAAGGGTTCCCCAGGAACTTCCAGAGGCTGGAGAAACACCAGCCAAGCCCCACATCCTTCTCTCACATGTGATAACCAATCAGGCCCCAGGAGCCAGCAAGGAGAGGCAGAGGGTCGTGCCTACAAGCAGTGGCTAACCCATCCACAAGCAGCAGGAGGGAAGACCATCTCTTCTACATGGACCACCATGAGCCATCACCATCCTGGAACATCTCAGGGAAGGTGTTTCTAGCCAGGACAGCAAAGTACCACAGCCACCGCAGGACCAGGAGAACCTCTGGCCACAGTGTGGGTCAGGTCAGCCGAGGGAGAGCCCTAAACCACCACATAGGACAAGGTGCTACTGCACCCACTGCACCATGGAGGGGGACAAGTCACAGGGGATGGGGCAGGCAGTGCTGGCAAGGACAAACCCAGGCTGGGGCAGTACCAGCCAACGCTGTCACTCCAGAGCGAGCCCAGGGGATCACAATGTTAAGCAGCTCAGGGTTTGTAGCACCACACTAAAGGCTTCAATGGAATTATGAGTTCAGGGATATTTTGGTGATGAAATTCCACCTTGCTTGTAAGCTCATCACTCCCCTTGTCGCAAGAATAAATGCCCACCATATGCCACAAGCCCAGGCAAGCAGAAAAAAAAAAAATGGTGCAAGTCCTGCCGATCCTCACATCCTGATGGGCTCCACAGTTGCACCAACTGTATTTTCTCTTGCAACTCCCAGATCCCTGTGGAGCTCATGGTTGTTTGGGGTTTGGGTTTTGGGTTTTTTTAAGAAACTGAACAAAACACTTGAACATCAACTGAGCTTCAGCCAAGACAGCTTTTGAAATACACTGAGGTGTTTAGGCCCCCAAGCTAAGAGCTGGACCCCCATGGCCACCTCAAGCCACACCAGCCCCTTCTGTACCTGTTTTAAGTTGTCCCATCCTCACTCATCACCTGCAGCTCCCATCAGCTCTTCAGAGCCAGAGTTCGAGCATCACAAGACTATTTTGGTGCATTTTCACAACACACATGAAAGTGGC